ATTTATTTAAATCAATCAATGATTCTTCAAATTCATTCATCATGCGATACGTATTTCCACGATTTTTTAATGCAAATGCATCATTTGGTTCAATTTCTAATGATTTATTTAAATCTGCAAGTGATTCTTCAAATTTGCCTAAATAATAGTATATTACTCCACGATTTTTTAATGCAAATACATTATCAGATTCAATTTCTAATGATTTACTAAAATCTAAAAGTGAATCTTCATATTTTTTCATCAGTCGATAAATTTCCCCACGGCTTATTAATGCTACAACATTAATCGGATCGATTTCTAATAATTTATTTAAATCTAAAAGTCTATTTTCATAATCGCCAATTTCAACATAATTTACTAGTGATGAAGAGGTAACTTGCATTAAAATTTTCTGTGTTGAATCCGAAATAAACATACTTGAATCACTTTGATTAGCTGAATGGGTTGTTGATTCATGAACTTTTAATAAACTAAAACTTTGATCAATTTTATTTACATCATGTTCATTATAGGCATTAAAATCTTTTAGGTGTAATAAGACTTGCTGAATATCTGGTCGACTATCAGGATCATGTTGCCAACAATTTATTTGTTATTAAAATCACTTGTAAAGTCTCTTCTCAAAATAAAAACACTTTAGATAAAAAAATATAATATTACCTTATACCTGAATAGATCTTGATATAGGCAGGTGGTGTTCCTTCGATATGGTTTTCTCGAAGACCATTTTTAATCTCTATAATTAATGATGCAAGTTGATATGGTTCAACATCATCCTTAAAACCACTAGATATTTCCCACATAAGAACACCAATACTATATATATCGGATCTTTTATTTAATTTAAATTTTTTATTTCCGCTTCTTTATCCTTCAAAACTCTTAGGGTCTATATATGCAATAATCCCACCAAACTTTTGACTTGAATTTGTCATTTCATCTAATCTTTTCGAAAGCCCAAAGTCTGTAAGCTTAATATTCTTTTGATGAACAAGTATATTATTTGAATGCTTTTAAAATTATTAAGACATATAAGCTTTACGAAAATAATAAAAATCATAAGTATTAATAATTGAAAATTACCAGATCACGATGTATTATACCTTCGACATGCAAGCATTTAATAGCACTAGCAATCTGTAGCGCAAAATTAATTTTATCATTCCAAGACAGATTTTTAAAATTATTTCGTAAATATGATCTTAAAGTTCCACTATCAGCATATTCAAGAACGAACATATAATTCATGGAGCTTGAATACTGATTTTCTATAATTTAAATAGGAAAAATTTATTATTACAAAAGAAATAAGTATTCAATTTATAAATTATGATAAAATTAGAGACTTTACCTTCATTTTTAGTAGCACCGTATAGACGTATAATATTAGAATGCATGTCCACTTTACAATGTAATTTAAGCTATGAACATTAAATGAATATTGTTGTGTGATTATGAAAAAAAAAAACCAATGTTAAATAGGCCAACTACCTCATTAACAATTTCTTTAATAGTCACATTATTGCTTTTAAATGACTTTAAAGCGACAGTAACTTCATTGTCTTTAAAAGTAGCACGATACACTTTTCCATAACCACCTTCACCAATCAATTCAACGTCCTTGAAGCGAGTATATTCATAAAATTTGATATGTCCTTCAATAAGGCATTTTTGAACTAAATCATCTGACGGGTTCATAACTAACACAGTAATATGTAAGTACGTACGTACTTAACTTGAAACCTTGCATACAAATCTGGAAATTATATAGTATAACTAGTTATGCGCTTGCTCATGCGCTGGGAGTTTTCTAGCGTTAACACTAATTTTGTGATATTTATTATTTAGGTAATTATTTAGGGGAATGTAGCAATAATAAATTTGCAAATTTTTGAATACAAATAGTAAATATTCTGATTTTTTATTGTCATAAAAATAAGTTATAAAATCGTTAAGGTTTGGAATCTTTAATTAATTTGGTTTGATTTGGTCGTACATACGTATATACGTACATACGTAATTTTTGGATTATCGGATATCGATTTTTGTAATTTCTATTAGACCTTCACGTAGTTTTTGTAGCACTTGAAAGTGTGGTTTGTTTTATCAGCTTTAAACATTTCGTTGCTTGATTTAATGATGTTGTATTAGTTTTTTATATAATTAGTTTGTTTTTTGTTTGTTTGGTGTTTTTATTCTTATTGAATCACAGTGTTAATTTGTTTTTATTTTAAGTGAAATAATAGTCTTCATTCGTATCTTAATACAATAGAAGTTCTATGCAGCTGAGGATTAATGTATCTTTGCGTGCGGTATTGTATATCATTAGCAGTATGCTCATGGTGAAGAGATTTTGTAGTAATAATTTTGGAGGGATAAAAGTGGATAGTTTATTAAATAAGAGAATTAATGGTGAGTGAGCGATGTTTTTAATTAAATTATTATTTGATTTGTTTAAGATGGTTGAAAGAAATATGAAATGATCTAAAAGGATAGCGACTGGTATGTACCAGTCTGTGATATAATATGAAGTAAGTAAAGTGAATGTTATAAGTGAAATATGAATGGCAGGTAGATATATTAATAAATAGTTTTTTAATTTATGGTTTGAATTAGTGGAATAGCAAATTAGTTGAAAATTTAAGCCTATGCAGAGGAAAAAAATAAATGAGAAAACTTCATGTAAAAGATTTAATAATTGAATTATGAGATATAACATTGCTCTAATTAAGATAATCAAGAGAAATATGAGGAAAAGAATTGAGAAGATACAAAAGATAAGTAGAAGTGTAATTAGCATTTTGAGTGTTGATTTTTGTGAATTTTAATATTTTTTTTTTTAGGAAATAAATTTTGATGGTATGAATTTCTTTATGAAGATTTTATAACGAATTTGAGGGAAGGATGTGTATGATAACAATTGGTTAATCAAATTGTATTGAAAATTATTTGACATATGATAATTAATAATTTAATAATTTAGACAATTACGAAATGATTCGTAATAATTAGAGGTAAATTTGGTTTATTTATAATAAGTTATATTTACAATTGTAATTGTTTTACTTTAATATACATAGTATTTAGGATAATTAATAATCAGTATATTTGAATTTAGAATATCGTTTAAAGTCGATCCAGTTATACGCCTGCTCTTGCGTTGGGAGCTTCTTTTTGATATCTCTTGTTAAGGTTTGTTGGTTGGCGAGAATTTTCTTCTATAAATTCTTGTACAAATTTATCATACTGAGCATATTGAATATAGATACTGATGAAAATTTAACGACATTGCTGTACTGAGCAAGGGTCTTCACAAGCACTTCACTCATTGGATCAGAAGTAAATTTAAATTTTTAATTGGGCAGAAATTTAATAGATTAACCAAATGTGTTATTATTTTGATGAACAAATGAGCGAGACACAGACCACCCTTTTCTTCAAAAATTTTATCATTGATAAAGGTTGATCAAGCATTAATTTTATATACTTTAGATATCAATTATAATAAACAATTAATTCTTAACAAATTTTTAACTTGTTTAAAAGATAGCCACTTTATTTTTATGTTCGAAGCTTTTAAAACAAACAATCAAATAATTAATATATATCAATCTTTTAATGTTTAATCAAACCATAATGAATACTGGTTTTTCATTTTTTAGTCATTTAATTTTGAAATCTTGTCTGTAAAGAATAACTAAAGCTGAAAGGTTCGAGTAGATAGTTTTCCATTTTTGATTGTAGTAAAGGAATTTAAATTGTTAAAATCATCAAAAGGAGGAGCCAACATAACTAAAGTCGAAACTTTAACTGTTGAATGTAAAGAATTTTTTTTTAATTAGGTTTTTTAGGTAGTAAGCAAACATTATGAAAAACAGAGAAAGTATGCTCAAGCATTTATTTCTATAAATATGGTGTCAATTGTGATGCCTAAGCATCTTTGCATTTATTATCTGATCAATTGATTTAGACGCTTGAGAATAGCTAAGTCGATGCTATAAAAATCTGTAGAAAAAAATGAGTGCCGCCAAGGGAAAACTTACAAGTCGTATCTTTTGTATATTTATTTTTAATAAAATATCTTAAAAATCAGGCAATCTAATACATACTGTTCTTAATATCATTTTGATTATCTTAATGAGACAACTCAAATAATATTAAGAACAGTAAGTATTAAATTGTCTGATTTTAAGTTATTTTTTACTAAAAGTTAATATTTAAAAAGTGCGATTTGTAGGCTTTCTCTTTGGCGGCATTCATATGTTGGATGTAGTGAAATTTTTACATATAACCAATAATGTAAAAACGACTAACTTTGGATGCTCTTAAGCATCTCACTCACTGAATTAGAGGTAAATTTTTTAATCAGAGTTTTCTCAAGATGACTTTCAATAGTCAGAAATTAAATAATTAACCAAGTAAGCCGTAAGCCATCTTTTTTTTTCAAAAGTTATCATTGTAAAGGTTATGATAATCAATGAATTTTCAACAAAATTTAATTCAAGCTAAAAAAATAGATAATTTAACTTTAATGCCGAAGCCTTTAAAGCAAATAATCAACCGAATGCATTACTAATTAGATGATTATATAAATTTTTTTTTTTTTAGAAACTTATTGTTGATTAAGGTCATCTAAATATCTTTTCATTATCTTTACGTATTTTACATATTAATATAATGAACAGTTAATTCTCAAAAAATTTTAACCTGTCGAAAAAGGTAGTCATTTTATCTTTTAGAGTTCGAATCTTTTTAAACAAATAATTGATAGGTTAATATGAATAAAATGATCTTTTGATAATTTCGGTCACAACATGAGCATTATTATTAAGTTTGCTGATTCAGTTAAAATAAACGACGGGCATTGTAAGTAGAGATGGGTAAAATGCGTATTTTATAATAAAATGTGCATTTTATAATAAAATGCACATGATGATAAAAAATTTTTTTTAAAATTTTTATCTTTATTACTAATAATATATCTAAATAAAGATACTACATATTTATCCTTAATCAGATTATGCCTATATAGATAACTTTTACCAATTATTCGATTGTAAATTTCATAGTTGCTAATCTTATATATTAAATCATAAAT